AACTGCTCGTGACCTAAAGAAAACAAAAAAGGAAAAGGCTATGAATAAGATAGGAAATAAATATGAAAAATTAAAAAGGGTAAATTTAACTAGGAAGGAATAAAATATAAATTAAGGTTAAAAATGAAATAACTGTACAACACAAATTAGAATGAAGGGTAAATTTAACTGGGAAGAATAAGATAAATATATAAATTAAAGTTGAAAATAAATAACTGTACAACAAAATACACAATACACAATATAGAACTATATAAGAATGTATGAAGAAATCTAAATATAAATAAATATATACACAATAACAGCAGCTGTACAAGTATTAACCGGAAATGAAGAATATAGTGACCAGTGTTGTGCAAAACCAAAGTCCAGAAAGTCCAGTGTGTGTGTAAGAACCATATGTGTGGGTCAGTACTGTGTGGTGGTGTGATTGAGAGACCGTATCGCCTGCGGGAAGAAGCTCCTCCTCAGTCTCTCTGTGTTGGTCTTCAGGGAGCGGAATCGCTTTCCTGACCTCAGCAGAGAGAACAGTCTGTTGTTGGGATGGCTGAGGTCCTTCACCATCTTCCTGGCCTTGGTCCAGCACCGCCTGCTGTAGATTGAGTGCAGGTCAGGGAGCTCGGAGCGGATGGTGCGCTCAGCTGACCGCACAACCCTCTGTAGAGCTCGTCTGTCCTGCATGGTGCTGTTCCCGAACCAGGTTAAGATGTTTCCCGCCAGGATGCTCTCTATGGTGCACGAGTAAAAGTTCCTGAGCACCTTGGAGGGCAGTTGGAAGTCTCTCAAGCGTCTGAGGTGGTAGAGACGCTGTCGGGCCTTTTTCACCACGGTGTTGATGTGACAGGACCATGACAGGTCCTGCGTGATGTGAACTCCGAGGTATTTGAAGCTGTCCACTCTCTCCACTGGGCACTCGTTGATGACGGGGGTCTGGTAGTTCCTCTCCTGCTTAGTGCTGAAGTCCACTATCAGCTCCTTTGTCTTACTGACGTTTAGAAGGAGGTTGTTCCTCTGGCACCAGTTCTCCAGATTCCTAATCTCCTTCAGGTAGGCCGTCTCGTTGTTATCAGAGATCAGGCCCACCACGACGGTGTCGTCAGCAAACTTGATGATGGTGGTGGAGCTGGTAGTGGCCACACAGTCATATGTGTACAAAGAGTACAGCAGGGGGCTCAGAACACACCCCTGGGGGGCTCCAGTGCTGAGAGTGGTGGAGGCTGAGACATGTCCGCCCATCCTTACTGCCTGTGGTCTGCCAGTTAGGAAGTTGGAGATCCACTGACACATAGATGAGCTGAGTCCCAGATGCTCCAGCTTGGTGGTGAGTGTGGAGGGAATTATGGTGTTAAATGCAGAGCTGTAGTCTATGAAGAGCATTTTAACATAATTCCCCCTTCTAGTGTCCAAGTGAGTGAGTGATGTGTGGAGGAGATGAGAGATGGCATCATCTGTGGAACGATTTGGACAGTAAGCGAACTGTAGTGGGTCCAGTGTGTCTGGTAGTGAAGAAATGATGAAGTCTCTGACCAGGCGTTCAAAGCACTTCATCACTACTGAGGTGAGGGCTACAGGGCGATCTGTTAGTTATCTGATGTATGTGTGATGCTGCAATGACTACATGCATAAAGATTAAGTATGTACCAAGAATAATGTTGCTGATTTTTCTTTTTCTAAACTTTGCTTTGTATTATCCATATTTTATTTCATAAGTACTGAGACTATCTTTTCTTACATTTGCATGCCAGAAAAACCATATGCATTTTATTTGGTGATTTTTAGTCATGAATAAGTTCATAAGTTCTGAAATCAAGCAGTTAATTAAATAACAAAATTGCAGCAAGTTGATCTTCAAAGCCAATTTTTTTTCATGATTTGAATATTTATATTACTTGCTGATGCTCTTTAATACACTCGTAGTCCATCTGTAACTGTGCATTTTCTAATTAAAGAATGCAATTATTAATGCAATGAATTTAAATGTGTTCAGTATTCATTCACTCTTGTCTGTTATAAATCTTACGGTGAGTAATTAGTCACTTTGTGACAGCTTTGCTCTTCTAGCATGAAATTAATAAAACAGCACCAGACCAACTAAATGTAAAGAAGCACAGAACAACTCTCATATGATGGAGCGAGCACATGAAACTCTGGAAGCCGAGATATTACTGGACAGACTACAGTAGAAGTACACATTAGCTTTGAAGTGATAGCTTTGACTGAGTTAAGTATTTAGTATTTAGTATTTATTTATTTATTGTCATTGTCAAGAACAATGAAATTGCGTTTGGGGCTTCCATACAACCCAAAAAAAGAAGAAAATAATAAATACCCCTTAAAACCCAAGTGTACATATTTAACCCAGTGTGACTCCAATGCAATAAGACAATCCTTAGCAATAATGTTCATAGAAATTCAGACAAAGACCTGAGAAACATGACAAAATACAACAATGCAACCCATTCAATATTATTGTACTGTGAGATATGATATCAGATATGATAGTTATCTATTTAAGAAAGAGGGGGGGGGGGGGGGGGGGGGCAGGAGGGGGAAGAGAATAAAGATATGATGCACCAATGCAGACCAGTTCATTGCTATTAAGAAGTTGGATATGGTTATTGTCCGTGAGAGGGGGGCAGAGAGTTCAGGAGCCTCACAGCCTGTGGATACAGGCTGTTGGCCAGTCTGGATGTTCTGGCCTTTATTGGTCATTATCTGGAAAACTGAGAAAGGCAATGCATGATCCAGCTAGCCTGATTTGTTTTTGACTTTATTATTACTCTGTGACAGATTCAAGTGTTCAGTATGGCACTGATTTTTTTTTTAAATCTTTATCTTTTTTTCTTTTTTCTTTGTTATAGAGATTCCTGCACATGACACTGCCCACTGCATGCACTCTCAGTACAGATTTAATGCAGAGTGTGACTTTTAAACTGGAGCACCACTTTTACTGCTGCCAGCATCATGATAACGTAGCTAGAAATTGCCACAAGGTGGCAGTTTTGGACTGAACCTGAGAAATCTCAGCTTTTAATTTGTTCTCTTTGAGCATACAGCTTTTTACATTAGGAAGCTGCACTAATACCTTTGGTTAAAGACATAAATAGTTTGGGTGAAGCATAAAGTTAAAGTTAGTTGATCTGAAAAGTCAGCCTCAACATTTTAGTTTAAGCAAAGGATGGGAAGATCACACTCAGTCCAATCAGAAACAAGCTAGAGGGCGAAACTTACTCTTTAAATGATCAGTAGGAATCTCTTTAGAAAAGGAGCGCGATCGTTTCAGTGGCAGAAGTTTTCAACATTTAATTGGCCGTGAGTCATGTGGTCGTTTGTCCTGTTTGTGCTGACAGATGTTAGAAAAATTCAAACTCATTCAATTATGTTTAAAAGGATGTATTATAATAACTTTGTTTCTTCTAATGCAGCGCTCACTGAAAAACAGACTTTCATTAGCATAACATATATTACATTACTATATATCACATCTATATTATATCTATACATAGATACTGGGGCTGGTTCTGCCAGAGGTTCTTTCTGTTAAAAGGGACTTTTGCCAAGTGCTTACTCACACTATAAAGCATTTTGAGGCAACTGTCAGTGTGATTTGGCACCAAACTGAATTGAATATTATTGTATTTTCAAGCAATACTAGAAACCATGTCATTAGTTTTTGTTTTGTGCTTTGTCAACAGTTTGTTTAATTACATAAGGTTCAGAAAAACCAACCAGGATGCCTCGCTAATGTGCAAGTAGCAGTCTAATACAAAAGGCAGCATGACGTCTTGTATTCAATTTATCATTATGAACTATATAAGCAAAAATATATTAAATTAATTATGATTTAGTGTACAAATACATATTTCTTATTGCGAGATATGATTTTTAAATGTATTCAGTTAATTGCAGTAGCCTCTGCTCTTCCCCAGATTTGAGGTGTCGTCTCTGTAATGTTTCTTCCTGTCAGCTTAAGGTAGTGATACTTTCACTTTTCACGGCGTGCATAGAGTTACCAGAGGAACTATAACTCCATGAAAAGCAAGCAGTTGTGATTGAGGGATAATAAAAGTTCACTCTGTGCGTAGCTTCAGCCACAGTGCTGAGAACAATAAGCTTTCTCAAAAATCACACCAGCAGCAGCACGGGCAAGAAAGCATCTGTGAGCTCTATTTGGCCTTGCATTGGAAAGTGTCTGCTTTGATTGTAGAGCCTTGACATTTCTAAAGGCTGTGTGTGTGTGTGTGTGTGTGTGTGTGTGTGTGTGTGTGTGTGTGTGTGTGTGTGTGTGTGTGTGTGTGTGTCTGTTATTTGCCTGAACCAAGAAAGTGTCCCTGTTCGAAAAGCAAAGCAATGTTCAAATGTTTCTTGTCCAGCAATGTGAGATCCAATTTGTAAACTATTGCTTGCTTAGATAGATTCCCAACCCAAGAGATAAGTCCTACAAATTCAAAAGAGCTCAAACTTGCCTTATTTTGGAATTTAACTTTTAATTATTATCCTTCTCTGTGCGTTTTTTTCCGCCAAATAACTCATTAATGTTCTTCCTAGTTTACTGTCATCGATGTGAAATAAATCAAGAAATCCTTATGAGTCATCAAAAAAGCTGACGATTTAATCTGTACATTTCAACACACTGAGAATATGTAAAACAGACAAATCGCATTATGTCGTAGCCTGATTTGTCTGTTTTAAACTTACCTGAATGCATAAACCTTTATGTTTAATGAATGATAAAACATATAAAGCTTATTATATTTTCATCGTGAACTTTCAGTTTGAGACAGAAAAGCTCTGCCAGGCACTGTGGAGGCTAAATAATTTCCCGCATAATCATTGGATATTAAAAAGAAGAAAAGAGTGAATTTAATTGGCTTCTCTCGTACTGTCCCTAATATCGACCAATCGAAACGGGAGTGGGCGTGGCTTGAAACCGGACTTTCTTCATGGCTTTTCTGCTGGCAGAGGGAGGGGTGATGAGAGTGTTGTTTTCTGTTGCTGCCGGGAACACACAGAGCTGCCAAGGTCGGTGAAAGTACTGCACACAGCCAGGCTTCGGTGCTGAGCTCCTGTAGACTCCTACACCGACAGACATACCGGTGAGTTTTGAGGTTTGCGCAACTTCGATTCGTGTTTTGCCGGCCGCAAAGATGGTGGGGTCTGTGGGTTAACTTTACTTGGTATCTTGCCAAAATGTGTACCCGTACAAATCGGGGACTGTCAAACGAGTTCACATGGAGTAATGGGGAGCAGGCGGAGGAAGCGCCAACTTGCTAGCTAATATTAGCTCCTGAAATGAGTTACGTGGTAGCGTAATTGTTGTACTAAGTCTTATCTGCCCGCGGTTTTGTTCTATTGATATTCACATATGTTGTGATTTCTTTTCCGAGGTTTACTTAGTGGTGCTAGCTTCACGGTCCGGTTAGCCCACAAACTTAGCTCGGGACTGCTGGAGGCGTTAAATTCGAGCCACACTGCTCTTGTTTTCCCGTTGTTGATTTATAGAAACGCATTGTTTTTGCTCTATTTTGATAGCAGATATATGTTAGAACCCGGTTCGGTGAAAAGTTATAACAGTTTAACAACTATCTCCGTCTGAAATCACTGCTGTGTAGACACCGCTGCAGACTGATAACAGTGTCCGGTTCATCCTCAGGCAGGTGGTTGGATTAAATGATTTCCTTTCTACTGCTGTAATTTCTGACTGATTGCTGCCTCTTGAACTGGCAGAGGGGGAAAGGCGGTTATAATGTATTTGTGGCCTCAGTTTGCAGCTGATAAAAGTAGCTGTTTGTGCGTCCTGACATGATCTACAATGTGGAGCTCTGCGTCGGCCCTCCGGGTGTTATTCCAGGCTATACTTTATTATTTCCTATTACAACAACAACACACCCCCGCCCCTGGTTCATTCAGCCCAGTACCTCCATCCGTTGCAGTGCTGCCATGTAGGTGGTGGAATCTAGATTCGCTGTGCCTTGCCAGAGGAATTAACCAAACATAGTCCAAGAGCCGGGTGCAAATTTGTTCACAGCCTGCAGCACAGGCAGACTGACAGACTTGTCTTGACTCAAATCTCTCAATTTGAAAACCACCTTGATATGCAAATTTTTCTAGGCAATAAGAGGAATGTGCCCATCAAGGCCCTGGTGTACTGAAATGGCGCTCTTTTGTTCAAGAGGACATACAGCAACAGCTGCACTTCCCAAGTGTGTGTGTGTGTGTGTGTGTGTGTGTGTGTGTGTGTGTGTGTGTGTGTGTGTGTGTGGTGGGGGCATGTGTGAGCAGATTTGTCCTGTTTCAGTCAGTATTCCAGGGAGTAATTGCAGCGTTTCTGGAATGCTGGTTAACACTTCAGAGTTCTGCATGTTAGACAATAGCTGGTGTGAATGAACCTGATCTCACATGAAGGAAGTTGAAATGCTTTGCATGTTATTTGCATGGCCAAGCAGAACTAGTAGTGGTGTACACACTGAAACCGTGGAGATGTGCTCGGACACGCAGAGTCATACATGCTGCAGCATTTAAGCCAGTTCTGTTTGACTTTATTAGACTTTTGGTCCAATAAGAGGTCCTCTGCACTACTGGGAAGGACCTTTGTTAAATATTCTTATGAATGCATATTGTTCTAGTGACCTGTGATGCATGCTGTGTTCTGTACACTGGGTGTGACAAGAACGAAACTATCTACCTTTGTTTCAACAATGTGGCTAAAGTAACTGAAGTATCAGTTTATATTTGTTTGCCTGTGGTTGCTGTAAACCATTCCACATATTCCAACATTCCCAGCTAAAACGAGAACACGAGCAAAAAACGTGTCAGACTTTAAAAATTAGGCATGGCACAATTTGAATGGCGTGTCCAGCACTCTGCTCGCCCATCGTCCTGTCAGAAAGCTGCCAGATATCAGTTGAAAGTCTCGTAGTTCTGCGCTCTCACTGCTCAAGGTTTTCTTTGCAACAGAAAAACAGGATATGGTATCTCACACCCTGTCGAACAGTGGCATATTTGTACTTTGTGGTTTTTCAACCTGCTGTTGCATTACAGGTTGCCTGAGGGAAGCACATGGTGTAACACTTGCTGTACGTCACAGCTTGGGAAGACTTTTTATAATCCGTTCCACTGTGAGATGCTTTGTAACATGACAATAAAGATGCTTAAAGATGTCTGTGTCCTATTCCTTTAACAACAAAACAGAAACTGTCAGTGTCAAGCTAGCCCAAACTTGCATGTTAGTTTTGATAAAACATTATCTTTATGTTGAGTGTGAACTGCTGTGATTGCACAGGGGAGCCGCTGGTGCCGCCCTGGCAGCCATTCTGCTCATAGAGTGAAGCAGCAGCTTTACTGAAGAGCGCCACGTTAGCCTGTCATGGGCTGTTTCAAAGGTAATGTGGTATTTGCAGTTTTTGCTGCTCTCAGACTTCAAATGAAACTGCTCACAGCAGCAATTTTTTGTTTGCCCGAGTCCAGCTATGAATCACAAGTCGCTTTGTGATACGACATGAGAAATCCCAAAGGATTTCCTGCTAGCGCTGCACCATTGCCAAGTCCAATATCTTGAGGCTTAAGCTGTGCAAGCGGTGGGAAGTCTTGTCGTGTCATTATTTCACCGTCGACGCCAGCCGAGGCCAGCCTGCAGCTTCTGCAGACTGTCTGGCACATTTTATTTATGCATGGCACATTTTGGGCAAAATGATGCTTCTTCTTTCTGTGTTCATTTAGCAATGTGGGCCGTTACTGATGTATGTGTGGAATGGAAATAGTATATTTGCATAAAGTACGTTAGAGAAGTCAAACATGAGGGCTTTTGGCAGTTATAATAGTTTGAATGTGTACTTCCTTTTAGGATAAGAAAGGATTTGTGTTAGAGTTGTTAAAGTCATGATTTCATTCAGACTGAACACGCTGGCTAAGAGCTCTCCTCCTGTTATCAGCAGCTAGTCATCCAGTTTGCTGCGGACCATCCGCCACTGCTGACTCAGCCAATGCTGCCATCTGGGCTGGAAGAGAAAACAGGACAGATTTCTCCCTGGCTCCAGAGCCTCGGATGCTCAGCTAACAGGTTCTGTGTGTTTGTGTAGCTGTTTTCATATATGAGCTGCAGCTTTGAACTTTGTTTAAAAAGACATTTCCAGCAAAGGTGCAGAATGTTAGATGCAGTTTGGTAACAAAAGTTACCGTCCAATCCAGACGTGCAACATTTTTACCTTGATCATTTGAAGTGTCAGTGTTTCCCCTCAAAGGTGCTCGATGCTTTATTTTTCCAGCATTTTGAGACCTCATAAGTTTAGGGGTACAAGAGTTGTACAAAAAGCGTGTTTGATCCAAGACGAGCGAGTTGTGTGTGGACATCTGCGTGAGAGGTCTGCAGATAATAGATTTGTATTCTGGGTTTTTCTGGGATCTAAGTTGATGTTTGGGGGTGGCTGTGCATGTGGCTGTGCATGTGGCCATGTTTGGTGCAACAGAAATCAACCTTTGTTGCATTTTATGGTATTTCTAGCCCCCTTTTTTTCTTTTTAAGCTACAGTATATTTTGTGTTTGAGTAAAATAGACCCCGCTCTGAAAACACAGCTGGAAGGCGTGTTTCTTTCCTCTATGCAGATAAAACTGCGATGTTTTTGGAATGTTCTCGGAGGAAAAAATTTGTTGTTTTGCTCAGAATAATTTCTTCTGCTGCTTTTATGTTTAGTTTTTTTATATTAATTAAAATCTGGCTGTGATTAGCAAAGGCCCACCCACCCTTCTGTTTTCAAGGAAGTGAGCTAAAATGCCTTCAGCTGGGGGTTGTCACCAAGGCCCAGCAATAGCTGAAGAAGGACCATGAGCTGCTCTCGAGTCCAAGAATAAAACTACCTTTGTATGGAAAGCAAAGGTGGCTGAGTATGATTGGCTGCGTCAGTTTTGGGGCCCTGGTTCTGTGCACGTTTGCTTTCTGTCACACTGCCTCCATCTACTGCAACACCTTAATAAACCAGAGCCGTTCCCAGTGTTATCCATGACACCCGTGCTTTTACTGCAGTGACAACAACAAATTTCTGCTGTTAATTAAGGTGATCATTTCAGCTTTAATTGAGTGCTTACTGAAACAATGAGCCTTTCAGGCTCTCAGTCTGGCTGAGCAAGACAAATAAATCCTAACTGTTAGGACAGCTTATTCTCTTAAAAGCTTAAAATGTTTTTGAAGCCTAATCCTCCAACATTTAGTGTTCACCGCGAATATTGTTCTTAAGCCTCCTGGTTATATTACTCTGGTTATTTGTGTGTACTAGACCGTGGCCGTCCTGCCGTAGTTCCTGTTTTACACCGAACTACCCGTCTGTGTGTCTTTATCTGTCTGTGTGTGCGCAAATACGTGTGTGTACAACCGTTCTGCCTCATGACCCTGCACACTTCCCACTCACGTTTCACTTTTTCTGCTTGCATCCTGTCAGCGTGACAGCAGCTCTCTGGCTGTTTGCTGCAGTTTCGCTGCTCTGTGTCGCTGTTGTTCAGAGCCGTGGTCGTGATGGTCACCTCCGTTTATCTCGGCTGCTCGTGTGTTACTGTTAGTAGTCATTTTTTGGTTTGGTGTGCTGTTGTACTGGGAACGCAGACTCCCAATTGGCTGTTTTGAAGTTTACTATATAATAGGAAACTTTTTTTAGTCAATGACATGATTTGAATTCATCCGCTTTTATAACCACAAACTGTCTCACATGGCCTAATAACACAGCAATAGTTGGTTTTGTGGTTTGTTTGTTTTTTACATAATTATTTCAGTTTGTTTCGGTTGCTTTGGTTGTTGTTCAGGTTTTGCTACTTTGTAACCAACCTGAGATTCATTCTTATGAGGTCTGCGTTATGTCTGGTATTAACATGTTTCTGAAGCCCAAGTCGTTATACAAGTGCTTATTTCAAATTACTTACAACAGTTTGCACAAAATTGCTTTGGCAGTTCACTTGGTTCCAAATGCCGAAAGAATCATTTTTTCTGGGCCAGTGGAAAATTGGAACGCTTTGGAAGAGCAGCTCACAGTTCAGAAACTACAAGATAAGAGTCAGACTGAGCTGTGGGTGACAGTCGTGTGAGGGATCAGCCAACTACACGCTTAACCT